CGTAGAACCGTCTGCCCCCCCTCAAGATGTAAAATGTGTCAGCACTCGCTCCACCGCCATTCTGGTAAGTTGGCGGCCACCTCCGGCCGAGAGCCAGAACGGCGTCCTGGCCGGCTACAGCGTCCACTATCGAGCGCTGGACTCGGAGGACACGGAGCTAAAGGAGGTGAATGATATCCCCCCAACCACCAGTCAGATCCTGCTGGAGTCCCTGGACAAGTGGACCGAGTACCGCGTCACCGTGGTGGCTCACACGGAGGTGGGGCCGGGCCCGGAGAGCTCGCCGGTCATCGTCCGCACGGATGAGGATGGTGAGTGAGCTCTCGTGGGTTTTTTCTTGGCGGTTCTTGTCCCTCTAGGGGTTTGTTCCCGTGCCAGGGAACTGTGGCTCTCGAGTGGTGCTCAGGGCTGGAGGGGGATCCAAACTCTGCACTGTGCAGCATCCTCTGTGCCATCACCCCAATCCCTCTGAGCACTGCGGTCTCTGGGGTTCTCCTTGGGGTCCCTGTCCCTCTAGGGTTTGTTCCCATGCCAGGAGACACAGCCCTGTGGCTCTCGAGTGGTGCCAGGCAGAGCTGGAGGGGGATCCAAACTCTGCACTGTGCAGCATCCTCTGTGCCATCACCCCAATCCCTCTGAGCACTGTGGTGTCTGGGGTTCTCCTTGGGGTCCCTGTAGGGATTGTTCCTGTGCCAGGGGACACAGCCCTGTGGCTCTCGAGTGGTGCCAGGCAGAGATGGAGGGAGATCCAAGTTCTGCGTGTGCAGCATCCTCTGTGCCATCACCCCAATCCCTCTGAGCACTGCAGTCTCTGGGGTTCTCCTTGGGGTCCCTGTCCCTCTAGGGTTTGTTCCCATGCCAGGGGACACAGCCCTATGGCTCTCGAGTGGTGCTCAGGGCTGGAGGGGATCCAAACTCTGCACTGTGCAGCATCCTCTGTGCCATCACCCACCCCAAGCCCTTTGAGCACTGTGGTCTCTGGGGTTCTCCTGGGGGTCCCTGTCCCTCTAGGGATTGTTCCCATGCCAGGGGACACAGCCAGGCCCTTCCCATGGCTCTCGAGTGGTGCCAGGCAGAGCTGGAGGGGGATCCAGGTTCTGCGTGTGCAGCATCCTCTGTGCCATCACCCCTCTGAGCACTGCAGTCTCTGGGGTTCTCCTGCCCTGCTTTAGAGCATTTCCTGCATTTATGGGGGATTTCTTCATAGCTCTGAGTCCTGACTGCAGCACTCCCCTTGAAAAGATGCTCTCACTGAGCCAGGAGCAGCCAAGGCAGCAAAACTTTGCTCTGAGGAATCTTTTGCTGCCAGAACTTGGTTTCCTGGAGTCGTTGTATGTCCTGAGTTGGAAGGGACCCACAAAGATCAGCCAAGTCCAGCTCCCCGTCCTGCATGGGACAGCCCCAAGAATCCCACCCTGTGCCTGAGAGCACATGTTTTAAAATTTTAAAGGGTTCTTCCCACACATTCCTTGTTACTACCTCCTCCTTAAGTCAGAGTTTTTGTCAGTTGTAGAAAAGAGGAATCTGTTAAAGTTTAAAAAATCTCAAGTGACAACAGTTCAGTGGCCCCACTTAGAGACTTGAATTTTCCTGGTATTTCTACAGTAAAATAAAACCAGGGAAAAGCATGAATGGGTGCATGAGGGTAGAGGAGCAACCTCAATGCGAGGGCAGGACCCCAAAGTAATATAAGTCAAGTAAATAACGTATGGAAATCCCAAATTTTTCAGGCATTCTTCATCTATTCCAAATAAAAAGAATTTTTAAAAAGCAACAGGTTTGTCCCCAGTGTTAGTCCTGTTTCCATGAGCATCTGCCCACATCCAAATGTAACATAAAGTACCCTTCTCAAAAAGTGTGATTTCCTGGTAGATGAAGCTGTCATGCCCTGTAGTAGTAAGAGTAGTAGTAGTAGTGGTAGTGGTAGTAGTAGTAGTAGTAGTATTTCCAAGGATTCAGCCCAAATTCCGTCCAAGACATCTCTTGTTTTCTGTCCTGACATTCCACAGTGGTTGTAGCCACCAAGCCCCTGTCCTGAGAGATGAGGGAACTCCAAGGACAAGCCCTCTCCTGATCCTCTCCCCCCTGACCTCCCACAGGCAGGACCAGAGCTTTTCTGGCTCTCTGGACTTTGGCTTTGCCCTCAGAAGGAGATCTGGAACTGGCATGGTTCCTTCCATCTGAGCAAACTGGGCACAGAAGAGCCTGGAAGGCTGATGGGATGATGGGGTGGGGCTGCTCCCATCCCTGTGTCCAGGAATGACTGAGTGATGGGGTGGGGCTGTTCCCATCCTGTGTCCAGGAATGACTGAGTGATGGGGTGGGGCTGTTCCCATCCTGTGTCCAGACCAAACACCTCAGGTCCCACAAAATTTCACCCCTGGCCAGGGACAGGTGATGGGAACAGCCCCATGCCTGTGTCCAAGAATGACTGGGTGATGAGATGGGGCTGTTCCCATCCCTGTGTCCAGACCAAACACCTCAGGAATTTCACAGAATTTCACCCCTGGCCGGGGACAGGTGATGTGTTGCTCACTCAGGTGCTCAGTGTCCCCTCCTCCCGGTGCTCAGACACAGGGTGTGATGTCGCAGAGCAGCAGGGCCAGGCTCCAGCAGAGCCCCCCCGTGATGCCTCCCCCGTGTTTCCCGCAGTGCCCAGCGCCCCCCCGCGCAAGGTGGAGGTGGAGGTGCTCAACTCGACGGCCATCCAGGTGTTCTGGCGCTCGCCGGTGCCGAGCCGGCAGCACGGCCAGATCCGCGGCTACCAGGTGCACTACGTGCGCATGGAGAACGGCGAGGCCAGGGGGCTGCCCCACATCAAGGACATCATGCTGGCCGACGCCCAGGTAAGGGCTCACCTGGCCCAGCCCCCGCGGCTGTCAGGGGTGGGGGCTCCGGCTGCCCTGGGTCACCCTGGGCAGTGTGACTGCAAATGGTTCATGGGGACACAGGACATGGGGACACGGGACATGTGACAAGGTGTGGGTGACACTGTCCATGTGACAAAGTCTGGGTGACATGGGTGACACTGTTCATGTTACACAAGGTGTGGCTGATATGGGGACATGGTCCATATGACCAGATATGGGTGACATGGGTGACACAGTCCATGTGACCAGGTGTGGGTGACACAGTCCATGTGACACAAGGTGTGGGTGACATGGGTGACACAGTCCGTGTGACACAAGGTGTGGGTGACACAGTCCATGTGACACAAGGTGTGGCTGACATGGTGACACAGTCCGTGTGACACAAGGTGTGGCTGACATGGGTGACACAGTCCATGTGACACAAGGTGTGGCTGACATGGGTGACACAGTCCGTGTGACACAAGGTGTGGCTGACATGGTGACACAATCCATGTGACACAAGGTGTGGCTGACATGGGTGACACAGTCCGTGTGACCAGGTGTGGGTGACACAGTCCATGTGACACAAGGTGTGGCTGACATGGTGACACTGTCCATGTGACAAGGTGTGGCTGTCTCTCTGCAGTTCGTTTGTGCTCCCTGACAATATTGCTGTGTAAGGGTATGAACTGCTGTCCCAGCACTGAGATAAAACCTCACCCACCCATCCTCGCTGTGTCTGGGAAGTCTTTTAATCCAGGCCAAGGCCACAGTGGAATCTACTAATTTCTCCCACTCTACTTCTTCCCTCATGCTTGCCTGGTAACTTCTGACCTTGTGTGGCTGCTTGCTCAGGGACTCCTTCCTCATGCTGTGTCTCTGTCTTTCCCTTCTTTCTCCTCTTGTATTCTCATGTGCCAAACCTCTCTTGTTCTCTGCCCAGTGGGAAACAGATGACACTGCTGAATACGTAAGTAAAAACATAAAAATCCTCAAATCCTCCCATGCTGGTTCTGCCTCTTCCCTTCTCCCACTTCCTTTTGTGATGTGATATTTTCCTTTTCCTTTTTTTTTTTTTTTTTTTTTCAGTGCCAGTGTGCCTGTTTTAGAGCCTGTTTTTGGTGTTCCCATGCACTGTCCCCTCCCTGTCACTGCTCTGTGACCCTCTGTGACCGTGTTGTTCGTCAGCACGCAGCAATCCCACAGGGTTTTCCCTTTGGCTCTGAAGGAAAGATGGGTCTGCTGCTCCTCCGTGGGGAAGCAGATGGAATATTGAATTTGGGACTGCTTTGAACAGATGAGGATCCTAAAATAGTTTGGATTGGAAGGGACCTTAAAGGCCATCTTGTTCCACTCCCAGCCAGGGGCAGGGACGCCTTCCTCCAGATCAGGGAGCTCAGATGGGCAGCTTTGTAACACTCCTGCCTCTGGAAAAGATAGCCTGGGAAGCGTTGGGAGTGCAGAATCCATGAGTCCTGAGCTATCACGGCATGAGCAAATGCTTTGTTCTCTCAAAGGGCCAGGATTCTTAGAAACTCATTGATGCAAAGCACTGAGTCATTATTGGTGCTTTTACCTTTGAAGTACCTTAAAGGTAAAAGCTTGGCTGCGTGGCATTTGCTATTTCTGCTAAAATGATAAATATTTTCCAAAATCCTACAGCTACCAAGCAGTAGGAGAAAGCATTTTCTCCTTGGAATGACGGGGTTCTGAGATAACACACGACTAAACTGGCTGTGTTTGTGTCTCCTGGGGATTGCCAAGTGCCCTGCACAAGAGAGGAGCCTCCCTTTGAGGGATGGAGAATGAGTCTCATGGGAGACTAAAATCTTAATAAAACTCAGTGGCAGGTGTAGAGCAGGACAGGTTTCTTGACTTCCAGAAGCCAGACCCGTCCCTGCAGCTGACGGGCTCCAAAGTCACTGATCAAAATCCCCCTGTTCCAAAGTTCTGCTGTTCCACTCCCAACTCACCATCGGGGAAATAGTTATTTTCAGCACTAACCAGTTCTTCCCAAGTGCTGCCCTGAGATTTAATATTGAAAGCACAAAAGGGTGAGGAGAGGGGAAAGCCATAAAACATGTACAACATTCCCATCTCCCTCCTTTCTGGGGCCTTGGGGAAAACCCTGCTGCATGTGCTGTCATCCTGTTTGATTTAGCACGGGTGTTCCTTTTCCAACACAGCCCTTTGAAAGGCTGCATCCCTCCTGGGGAAAGGCTGTTCTGGAGGCCAGTGTTCCAACAAAAGCTCCTGGGAGCCAGGTGTGGGGAGGCTGATAGAGGATGGGGAAGGAGGGGCTGGGATTTAGCAGGGAGCTTTAGCGTGAGCTGAATGTGTCGTCTTGCACTTTGCATTCAAGCAATCCCTTTAATATTATGAAGGCATTAAAAATATCTCTGAGGAGAGAAGAGAGGGGTAATGGTGAAAAAAAAATGTAATCTCCCTGAAACCTCTGAGCCTCCTCTGAGGCCGCACAGTGGAGAGGAAAGCTTTGAAGGGAAGCGACAGCATTTGGATGCTGAAGTGGTTTTTTTGTGAAGCCAGGGAATGTGTGAGAGGCAGATGTGGAGGAGGATGCCTTGCACAGGGCCCTGCAGGGCCAGGCTGTGTTTGCAGAGCTGGGAGAACGGGGCTCTGCCCTCTGCACTTCCCACGGATAGCCCAGGGTGTCTCGTGCTCTTGGATTCCGAGTTCCTGCATGCTGGAGAAGGGCTGAGACTCTGCAAGGAGGAGAGAGCTGCTCTGGGGTGTGGGTCTGAATACTGACACGATTTCCCTTTGGCTTCTGGCAAACAGGAAATGATCATTGCTGGGCTCCAGCCTGAGACTGCCTATTCCATCACCGTGGCCGCCTACACCATGAAGGGAGATGGTGCTCGCAGCAAACCCAAAGTGGTCACCACCAAGGGTGCAGGTGAGAGCCTTGTCCTCAGCCAGTGGGACTCACCCATTTCCTAAAGCCAAGGGGCATCTCCAGACTCACCTTTTTCCATCCCACTCCCTTCTTGACTTGCAGCAAGAGCCAGGCTGCCCCAAAGGCAAAATTAGATTTAGTAAGGCAGAAACCCCTTCATTCCTCACGTGCAGCCCTCACCAAACATCACCATTTTCTGTCCAGTGCAGACCCAGAAACACAAGAGAGGATGAATTTGTCACTTGTAATCTCCTGGGCTGTAAATTCCAGTGCATGAGGAGGAAAGTGACTCTTCCTGGTGTGACTGCAGCTTTGCAGGTGCCCACGCAGGTACCCTGGGGACAGGAGAGCTCTGCTGGCAGGGTGGTGACTTGCAAAGACCTGAAGAGCAGCAGGCAGACAGGGCAGCTTGTCCTGCCCACTCCTCTCTTCTGGTACCCTGTGTGGATGTGCATCCCCTGTGTTCAGGGCTGGTGGAGGGAGAAACTCTGACAGTGTTGACCTTTCCTGGCTCCCATTCCTGGGGCCTGGGCTCTGCCTGCACATTCCAGGCCAAGCCTTTCCCTTCACTCACCCTCTGCTCCTTCACCTCCAGTTCTGCCCAGGATTCTCCTCACTAATTCCCTGGTTCTCTGCTTGCCTTCTTCCTGAGCCTCTCCACCCTTTCTGTTTTTCTCTCCTGGAGTTTTTCTCCCAGCCTGGCTCCCTTGTCACTCTCGCTTGTCACCCTCCCTCATCTCTTCCCATTAGGATTTGCAGTGCAGGTGATCAGTCACAGAGGGATGTTTTCTCCAGCACAGCAGCTATTACCCAAAACTGAATTTCCCCCAGCTTGAAATAGCTATTTGGAAAAAAAAAAAATCTTTCAAATGGCTCTGTAACATTCTTACTTTCTTTGCAGCATTGAGTCAATACATGTTCTGAGAGGAGAGATTTCTTTCTTTATCATTCAGGGCTGGGGGCTGAATTTAAATACAGTAATACATCTAATTTTCTCCTTTACTGTCCAAACCAATTGCAAAATAAAACATTTCCCCCTCTCTGCACTTTCTTCTCACCTTTATTCTAAACAATATTTGTTGTGCAGATGTAATACTTTCAAGCTCAGCTGATTACAGTAACATTTGTGATAAAAACTGAAAAACATAAAGGTAATGGCACTCTTTTTCTCTTTAACGTGTTCCTTAGGCATTCCCAAGGGAGGAGGCTGGCTCTCCCAGCACCGTCCCTGCCAGGCTTTGGCAGTCTGGGAGGAATACAGCGTTTGTTTCAGACACAGCCCCTCATCCCCTCTGAGGTGTTGGTGGAGGCAGCAGGCAGAGGCTCCCCAGTGCGACCCTTTCAGATCCTGCCCTCACCCCTTGGTCAGGCTCGTGCTGTGGGAGTGGGCTGGGGTCTCTCCCAGCTCCATTTTCTCTCCTCCTGCCCAAGCAGGAGAAATACCAGGGCGGAGAGAAAGGAATGAGATCTCTAATAGTGGAGCTGAGTGTCAATGAGGCGTGAGCTGCTGGAATTAATGCTCTGCTTTCTCTGGCTTTGGGGATCTCTGGGCCTGCACGTGTCATTTAACTGTGGCTGTGGGCTTGCTTAGCAGTCAGGCAGTGCCAGGGCTCATTAGGCAGAGACATGGCACTGCTGAGCTCCCCAGAACCCCCAAATGTGGGGGAGCTCGCTGAAAATGCACCAGCACTGTGAGTTCCCTTCCTCCAGAGCAGAGGAGCAGCACAGAGAGCAGCAGCTCCCCCTGCCCTCTGCCTCACACACATTTTGGGCTCTTCTTCCTCTGCCTGTGCTTCCTCCTGTGCCCGAGTGGGTGATGAGTTGCCTGCCAGCCGTGGGAGCTGGCCCCGTGCCTGCTGCTCAGGACCTGGGGCTGCCCAGACTTCCTTCCATCCTTCATTGCTTCACCCTCAGCTGCTCTGGACTTCCCAGCCTGGGCCAATCTGTTCCAGTCTCTTTCTGCATGAGTTGGGCTGAGAGAGGGAGGGAGGTTGGGACTTTGGGGACTCCAGGTTTGTTTTTCCCTGCCCTGGGAAGCAGCTGGGACAGGAGGCTGGAGCCAGGACTCCTGAGCTTGTTCTTCCCAGCAGTGGGAGGGTGAGCGGTCCAGGGACAGGGCAGGAGCTGTGCACATCTGTCCGTCCTGAACAAAGGGAAGAAAATCGATTTAGGAATGTGTCAGCACCTCTCAGCACGCTGGCAGTGCTCCTCATTTCCCCAAGCGTTCAGGGCCCATGTCCCTGTGCAGGGTGGCAGCAGTGTGGGTTACACAGAGCCGAGCTGGAGCATCTCTGGGGACTCGAGGAGCCTGCTGCTGCAGCTGAAGAGTCCCTGCAGCTCCTCTCCCCCCACCCAGCCTTGGCTGAAGGCGTCTCTCTTGTCTCCTAGTCCCAGGGAAGCCCATCCTGTCTGTGCACCAGACGGAGGAGAACACTCTGCTGGTGAAGTGGGAGCCCCCGCTGGGCGCCGAGGGCCAGGTGCTGGGCTACCGCCTGCAGTTCGGCCGCAAGGACGTGGAGCCCCTGGCCACGCTGGAGTTCTCAGCCCTGGAGGATAAATACATCGCTGCCAGCATCCACAAGGGAGCCACGTACGTGTTCAAGCTGGCCGTGAAGAGCCGGGCCGGCTTTGGGGAGGAAGCTGTGCAGGAACTCACCACCCCCGAAGACATCCCCAAGGGCTACCCCCAGATCCTGGAGGCCAGCAACGTCACGGCCATGTCGGTGCAGTTTGGCTGGCTGCCCCCCGTGCTGGCCGAGCGCAACGGAGCCATCGTCAAGTACACCGTGGCGTACCGGGAAGCCGGTTCTCCCGGGAACCTGCTGGAAAAAGAGCTGCCCCCCTCCCCAGAGAACTCGTACACCCTCAACGGCCTCAAACCCAACACCGCCTACGATGTTAAAATCCGTGCTCACACCAGTAAAGGCCCCGGGCCCTACAGCCCGACCGTCCAGTATCGGACGTTCCAGCTGGACCAAGGTAGGACTCACCGGTTTCTGCTCCCTCTGTCCCCTTGTATCCGGGGCTGGTGCCGGGAGGCAAGAGAGCTGGAGAGGTCAGGCCGGGCTCAGCCAGGCTCGTGAGTAAATGCAAAGCACTCTGGTGTCACACTCAGTCCCTCCGCTCCTCTCTGCCTTGTGCCAGGTAAGTCCCTTTTACCGCTTTCTTCTAAGTTAAGTCCGGACACCTCCTGTCACTGGCACCTGAAGGGGGGGGCCAGTCGCTGTACAGGTGGGAAGAGCGTTTTCTTCAGCTTTTGCAAGCAGCCAAAAGAAAAGAGCAAAAAATTCTAAAAAAGCCAACCCTCAAGCCGTGACGTGGGATGGGTTTTTCCTCACCTGAGCATGCTCAGCCAGGCAGCACCTCGTTCCTGCAGCAGCCACTCAGCCCAGAGCGTGGGGGCAGAGCCACGTGCCCTCCTGGGGTTAGGCATGGGGACAGGGAGCACTGGGAGATGGACCTTGGCAAAACTCAAGCACAGTGTGGAGGAGGGAGCAATCCCTTTCGTTCCTGCAGCCAGACCCAGCCTGGCAGCCCCTCTTCCAGCACTTGACATTCTCTTCCTTCTCTTTCCTGCTCTTCCTTCCCTCTGCTGCCTTTTCTTCTCCTTTCTCCCCTTCCTCCTCACTTTTTTCTCCGCAGTTTTACCCAAAAACTTCAAGGTGAAGATGGTGACAAAGACATCTGTCCTTCTGAGCTGGGAGTTCCCTGAGAATTACAACTCTCCTACCCCCTACAAGGCAAGTGGAGTGCAGGAGCTTTTCCTGCGTGTGCCCAGCTCTGCAGGGCTGGGTGCTCCCGTGCCCTGCAAACCAAAGGGATGGGGAGGAGGGAGCTGGAGCAGTGCCAGCCTTGCTCAGGGAACAACCTGCTCCTCTCCCCCAGATCCAGTACAACGGGCTGCACGTGGACGTGGACGGACGAACCACCAAGAAACTCATCACCCACCTGAGGCCCCGCACCTTCTACAACTTCGTGCTGATGAACCAGGGCAACAGCATGGGGGGGCTGCAGCAGAACGTGGCAGCCTGGACTGCTGCTGACATGTTGTCCAAGAAGCCAGAGGTGACCCACAAGCCTGACGCTGATGGCAATGTGGTGGTGATTCTCCCTGACGTGAAGAGCTCTGTGCCTGTCCAGTAGGTTTCTGTTGAATTGCAGGGGTGGGGTGCTCAGCTCACGTTTTGGGGTCGGCCCTGATGGCTGGAGACCACCACAAACCCACAGGGCAGTACCAGGAGGGTGATCCTTGCATTTCAGCTTTCCTGACTGTTGCCTTTTGGAGGCACTTCCACAATTACCAGGGAAAGCCAAAGAAGGGTGAAGGGAGCACACAAGGAGACATGGGGCTGCCACCGAATCCAGCTCATTCCAGGAGCTGTGGAACATTCCACAACTGTGCTGAATGAAAAACAAGGGGCTTGAGGCAGTGAGGCATTTTGGGCAAACTCACATCGGTTTGTGTGTTCCCTTCCTCCATGGCTAATTCCTTCTATTTCTTGTCATCCCCAACATTCAGAGCTTTCTACATTGTGGTGGTGCCTCTGAGGAAGTCCCGGGGAGGACAATTCCTCAACCCCCTGGGCAGCCCTGAGGAGATGGACCTGGAGGAGGTGAGTGGGGTGAAACTGGGGCGGGGGGGAGAGAGAACAGCTGGAACGCGATGGAGACCCGAGGGCTGGGAGGGGAGGATTTGGGGTCCCTGCGCTCCTCATTCAGCGCAGCCAAGGCCGGGAGGGCAGGTTTGGCTTTCCCTGGTGCTCATTCCAGGCTCTCAGGGTGTTTTGTGCTGCCTGCAGCTGGTCCAGGACATCGCGCGGCTGCGGCGCCGGAGCCTGCGGCACTCGCGGCAGCTGGAGCTCCCCAAGCCCTACATCGCCGCCCGCTTCCGCTCGCTGCCCTCCCACTTCATCCTGGGGGACATGAAACACTACGACAACTTCGAGAACAGAGCCCTGGAGCCGGGACAGAAATACGTGCTCTTCATCCTGGCCGTGCTGCAGGAGCCCGAGGCTGTAAGTGCTGCCTCCGAGCAGGGATGGGCCGGGGAGGTGCCACAGCCCTGCTGCCCTCCTGCCATCCCTGAGGGGCTTTTCTGAGCGGATCTGGAGGGTTTGGATGTGGCTCTTGTGTAGCCCTGGGAAGGGGTTTTAACCCTTTGAGTGAGGCAGAAATAAGATGCACAGCTCCATGGGCGTCTGTCATGACAGGAAGAAAGAGCCAAGTTTATTCACAAACACACTTGGTTTTATAGCAGGACTGCAACTCCCAGAGCAGAGAAAAGGTGATTGGTTCAGAGAGAAGACACCCCATTGCCAGGGCCTGGGCACACACCACAACAGGGGTTTGATTTTGTTATTAATTCCTTTTTATTTTGACCAAATTATCACCTTAGGAGAAATTCTCCCCAGCCTTGATCTGGACCAGCTCATGGGCTGGGAACAGAGCTGAGAAGCTCCAGCCTGGAATATTTTTCAGGCTGTAATTTTCTTACTTTCTCAATATGTGTCCCACACTCTTGTGTTTGGTGATCTGCTCGTGCTTGTGCCTGCCCAAGGACACGAGCAGCTGTGACTGTCCCAGTCTTTGGGGACAGAACTGGGACACTTGTGGCTCCAGACTGGAGTGCAGAACGGGGAGGAACAACTGAACTGTCCCCTCAGGACTGCACAAGAGTTCAGAGAGCCCCGGGTCAAACCCCTCTTTGAACAATAATTTCCTTTAAAGGCTGTTCTTTAACTCCTCAGAGCAATGACCCCAGACATCCTGCTCCAAGAACATGTCACACTCTGGCCATTGCTCAGTTCCTCTCCAAGCACAGAGAGGAGAATTGCATTTTTTAATGGAAAGCTACAAGTTTTTCCATAAAAAAAACAATTCAGCATCTCTGCTGTTTTCACTGGGGCTGTACTTGGCTTTATGAAAACAACTGTTTTAATATTTACCTGCCTCCTCCCTCACACACAATAGGAAACAGCCTAATACTTTGTTGTTTTTAAATCCCCCTATGGAATTGTAGCAGGGAGCTATTGGAAATTAAGGGTTTTCAGAGGTTTTTTTCCCCCAATAAATATTTAGTTGTATATTTGATATTAAAGGATTAGGCTGACACGCTCCTGAATGGGTTTCTCAATCGGATTACTGCAGCTTGAGGTAATTTCTGCTTTAGAACAAGGTGCTGCAGTGGCCTGGATCCACAGCAGCTCCTGAGTGTGGAGCAGCATTCCAGAGCCTCTGTTCTGCTCCTGTCCCTGGCTGCTCTCCCAAGCCAGGCCATGCCAGTTCTCTGTGCTGTTCAGTTCCTGGAATTCCTGTGTAGGATGGGAATCCATCCTTAGTCAGGACTCTGAAGGGTTTGAATGTGCCTCTGATGCTGCTCAGCTCAGGGCAGAGGCAGCAGAGGACACACACAGTGTTTTACTGCTTTAGATTTATTTGTCAGGGTTGGTTTTTTTTCAGTTAATTCTTGTTTCAATTCCTTCTCTCTTGCTCTGTAATCCCATCTGACTGTCAAAACCCAGATGGTTACAGAGAGCTTGAGGAAAGTGTTTGTGTGTTTGTGGCAGTGGTGAGGGCTCAGGGCTGTGGTGGAACAGAAGCAGCTGGATTTCCAAAAGCACCTTCCTGGCCATGAGAAGGGCTGAGCCACGGGCACAGGGCAGCTACAGCTTCACATGAGTGTGATCTTTCTGTGATGGGTCTCACTGGAGCTTGGGAAGTGGAAGACACCCCTCATGTGGAGGCTCAGGAGCAGGGCATTTTCCCTGTAACCATTTGGGTTGTGCTTCAGAGAGCTCACATCCTCCCCCAGCAGTTCCTCCTGTGGAATTCCGTGTGCTTGCCCACCCTTCAGTGCCCACCCCACCTCTGAGCTGTGTCCCACCCTGCTCCCTGTCTTCCAGACCTATGCTGCCAGTCCCTTCTCTGACCCCATCCAGCTGGACAACCCTGACCCCCAGCCCATCATCGATGGTGAGGAGGGGCTCATCTGGGTCATCGGGCCCGTCCTGGCCGTGGTCTTCATCATCTGCATCGTCATCGCCATCCTGCTCTACAAAAAGTAAGAGCTGCTCACTGCCCACACCTGAGGTGGTTCTGAGTGTCCCCAAGGGAATTTCTGTCCTGGTCAGCTGAGGGCACTGGGGAGAGGAGCCCTGAGGCACAAATGCTGGAATGGGAGAGTGCCCAGCACAGGAGGGATTTGCTGCTGCAGATTCTGCCCCATGGCACTGCCAGGAAAGCTCGGCTGGGCCCGGTGTGCAGTGAGGGTGTCAGGACTCCAGCCTGGCTGCTCACAGCCTCAGGCACCCCTTTCCATGCTCCCTGTGCCTGTGGGCACTGAGGGGAGGCAGGGAAGGCACCTCTGAGCTCTGGGCACACCCCTGAGCACACACAGGGCAAGGGAAGGGGACAGGAGGGCAAGCAGGGGCTGAGCAAAGTAAATAAAGGTGGCAATGGCCAGCAGAGGTGTCCTTAGCTGGGACAGCTCTTTCCCAGGGTGGGGGGAGCTCTCCTAGCCCTGCTCCATCTTTCACCTGCACAGGTGTGTTCCCTTATGCCCAGGAGTGTGGCCTCTGGGGTCCTGCTTGGTGTCCCTCTGGCTGGGGGATGTTTGCTGGTCCCATCTCTGCTGCCAGGGTTAGAGCTGAGCAAATGCTTCCCCCTCCCTCTGCAAGTCCTTTCTAACCTGAACATTTGTCTTGTCTTCTCTCCACTTACTGCTTTCCTGGACAGCAAACCAGACAGGTAAGAGCACCAGATTTGCCATTTATTCAGGTCCTTGCTTGCTGTGTGATAAGCAGTGTTTGCTGTGTGGTGTTGGGACTTGGTTGGTGCAGTTCCCACCTCGAGATCTGTCCTTACAGAAACCCTATGTCAGACTAGCTGGGACCATGTTTGAATTAGGGCAGAAAAAGCAAAGCAAGCCCAGTTTTCTCCTGTTTGTCCATTCCTAAATAAAACAGCCCTTTCTCAGGCTGAGCAGCAGTGACAGTAAATGGCTCATAAAGTGTTGGGCTAATGGAGCAGAGGAACTCTCATTTGTGTGTGGCAGGCAGAGGTGAAAGTGGGTTTTTCTGCATGTCTGGCTGCTCCACACAGCTCTCCCTGAGCCCCTGGCACACTGCAAGCAGGATTGTCCCCAGCTGAACTGTCCCTGTCCCATGGCACAAGCTGCTCTTGCCCCTCAGCCAAGGGCTTCTGACAGAGGCTGTTTATGACTGCAGAAATGAGACTTTTCCCCAACCATTTCCAAGACTGGAAGAGCTTCCACTGGAAGAAGCTGATGGGTTCAGTCCATGGATTGTTAACAGCAGTTTCGGAACTGCGGCAGAAATAAACTGCTCCCAAAAACTGCAAAGTGGTGTCATTCCAAAACGCTGCCCCATGCAGTGCTGGCAGGGCTCAGGCCACTTCTTCTGGCTATTAATGACATCAAGAGACAGCTAAAAATGTCCTGAATAACCTCCTCTCTGCCTAAGTAATTGCCATTGCTGCTGCAGGCGAATTACTGGAGGTTTCTGTGCACCCTAAGCAGGAGAGCTGCAGAGCCCCTGGCTGGAAGGGAAGGGCTGGAAGGGCTGGACCCCCTTCCCAAGCCTCGGGCTGGGGGCCCCATTCTCTGCTCTCTGCAGGAGTTCAGCTCCCAGCAGCTCATCACTGTTTCTTTGCAAGGAGTTATCACATCTTTAGGTCAGCACCGAGCTTTGCTTCTAAATTCTCTTCAAGGAGAATGAGCCAGGTCAGCAAAGACTTTTTCAACTGCCTAAGCTAAGCTAACCCATTTGGAGGAAATGTATGAGGAAGCAGTTCCATGTGCAGCTCAGCTGGCAGGTTGGAGCAGGCTCTGGCTCTTGGCAGGGAGAGGTGGATCTCAGCAGGCACAGCTGTGCTGGGAGAGGATGTGTCTACACTGTTTGTTGAACCCAGATTTTTAGGGTTCTGCAGTTCAAAAAAGACTGAAAACTGCTGCTCTGACTTCTCTGTCTGCAGCAGGGCAGCTCCTGAACAAGCCAACAGCAATATCAGAGCTTGACATCCAAGGTCACAGCCAGGAGAGTCTGTACTTTTCCAAATGATTCTGCTGGCTCTGGTTCTCTCAGGCTGGAAATGGCTTGGCCAGAGTTGGAACATTTTTGCTCTGCAGAGTTCAGGGGAGGCTGCTCTGAGCAGGGAGGGTGAGGTGTGAGTTCACAGCACCTCAGCTGCTCCTGGCTGCTGGGGGAAGGGGAGAACTTCCAGACTTAGCTGAAAGCTGCTGAGGGGCTCCCAAGCCATTGTCAACCCCTAAAACATTGCACTGGCAAGCCTTCCAAACCTCACCCCTTTTGTGATGTGTTTTATGTACTTACACCTTTGATTTTCTCCTGCCTGAACTCGAGTAGCTGAGAAGTAGCTGAGATCACAAGGCCCAGAATTAAGCTTCTTTTTCTTTCTGGTCTCTTTTGTTTCTTTTTGGGTTTGTTATGAAGCAAACGGAAAGATTCAGAGCCACGGACCAAGTGCCTCCTGAACAACGCTGAAATCGCCCCCCACCACCCCAAGGACCCCGTGGAAATGAGGAGAATCAACTTCCAGACTCCGGGTAAGCAGCTGCTGAGCAGCCTGTCTGCTGGGAGGGCAGGAGGGGAGCACCTGCCCCTTCCCTGAGCCCTTCCTGCCTGCCTGCAGCTGCCAAGGCACCTCCTGGACACCCAGTGCTACCCCTGGGCACGGCTAAGGAACCCCAGCCTTGTCTGTGCTGAGTGCCAGTGCTCCAAGGAGCCTTTGCTGGGACCCTCAAGGACCTTGCCCAGGCTGTGCCCAGTGCAGAAGAAAGCTTTTCCTGGATTTCCAGATAAATTGGTGCATTCTGGGCTGAGCTGCAAGCACCAGGCACACCAGAGCACCAGCTGGGAGCTGCTGGGTGGGGAGATGGGGCATGGCAGTGCCCAGCACCCCCCAGTGCTCCAGCCACAGCTGGAACTGGAACCTTCTGGTGCCAAACCACTCCTGCTGGGAGCCAGGCCTGCCCCTGGGCTGTGCAAGGAGGAAGGAGCTGCTTGCTTGGTGTGGGTGCGGCAGCATCTCCTGGCTTGGTGCAGATGCTGCCAAGGAATCCCAGACTGGTTTGGGTTGGGAGCACCTTAAAACCCCCTCAGTTCCACCCCCTGCCGTGGGCAGGGCACCTTCCACTGTCCCAGGCTGCTCCAAGCTTTGTCCAGCCTGGCCTTGGGCACTGCCAGGGCTGGGCCAGCCTGTCCCTGCAGCACTCTGTGCACTCCCTGCCCCTGCACACACGTGTCCCCATGTCCATGCATGTCCCAGCTGCACCTCTGAGCCACCAGTGCCACGTCCTCACACACAGGGACCCGTGGCCACGCTGACCCAGTGCCCGTCCACGCCTCTGCCTCCAAGTTCCTGGTGCTCGAGGATTTGGAAGGGAATTTATTTGTGCTTTTTGGGGGCTGGCTGTTGTTTTCAGTTTGTTTGTATTTTTTTGTTTTGGTTTGGTTTGGTTTTTTATTTTTGCTGTTTGTGCTCGTTAGTAATGTTTCTGTAGCTCCTGTTTCCCCCTTCCCATCCCAGTCCTGTCCTTAGCGTTGTTTCCTTAGGGTGGGGCTGGCAATAGGGACCCTGAAGGCAGGGATTTGTAGGGAAGCACAAAGGCAGAGCTGAGCTGAGGAGATCTTATCAAAATGAGCTGGGAATCACTCACTGGGACCAGCCCAGGCCTAGGAGATGCTCAGCTGAGGGATGGCAGCAGGTTCACTCCAGGGACAGCAGCCCAGCACAGGTAGGTCCCTAAATGAGCTGCCAGTGCTGCTCTTGCAGGAGAATCTGAAGGTGTTGGAGGTGCTTGGAGTGCTCCCAGCTGCAGTTTGTCCTTGTCTGGGCTCTTCCTTCAGCACCATTCCACTCTGGGGTGCTCTGGGTGGAGAGAAGTGGAAGACCCAAGAGAAGGAGCTGCACTCCCTCAGATGAAAAGGCTGTGCAAGATAAAAAATAAAAGGTTGTGGCCTTCCAGCTTGGTCTTGGTGCCAAGGAGCAGCTGGAAGTGCTGGTTCCTGAGTTTCCCTGAGTGGGAGTTTCCCACAGGACAGCAGAGTCAGCTGAGGGTGCTCCCATCAGGAATGGGATCCGTGGAGGATCCAGCCAGGCTTCTGCTCACCCCACTGCTCTGGTCCTGCTCTGCCTCTGGCTCTGAGAGGTTTCTGAAGGGTAGCTGAGACATCAAAACCTGCATTAAGGCTCTGCAGATCCCAAAAGACACTGCCTGTGTCCAGCCTGGCTTTAGGAGATGCTGCCCTTCCCTTTCCAAGTTTATCTGGCCAGAGTTGACCTACCTGGTGTTACTCTGCTCTGTAATTTGTGAAGCACTAAAAACTTTAAAAGGTTTGGGGGAGTTGATCACCTGCCTCCCACAGAATTTTGGAAACATTGAGTGAAAATTGAAATGGATGGGAAAATGAGCTTGGAGTGTGTTGGTGGTGATGGAGAGGTTGTGGTGCAGTTTGCAGGGGAAGAGTCCACAGGTGCTCTCTGAGTTAAAGGCATTTAAATTCAATATATTGAATTTACAATAGGGGCCTGTAGGCTCTTCTCCAGACAGGTGACCTCGTGTAGAATCTCCATCGTGTTCCCAGCAGAGAAACAGAGGAGGGACATGGGAATGGGAATGTGCAGCTCAGAGAGGGGAAAGCACAGCACATCTTAGATATCCTAATCAGCACAAAAAAATACCTTTCTTTTCCTCTTTAGATTTATGTTGGTTTTTAATTTTTTTTTTTAATTAGCATGAAATTTTTACAAAAGTGTATCTTTTATTTATTTATTTTTTACTGTTTTCTGCAGATTCTGGTCTGAGCAGCCCTCTCAGTGACCCTGAGTTTGACTTGGAAAGTTAGTTCCTGTGTGTTTTTGTTCCTGTTGGTTTCATTTTTCCCCCCATTATTATTTTCCTCTTCTGCCACTTTCCTTTCCTTTCCTTTGTTCCGTTCCTGTTACTATATTTTGATTTTTCTGCCGAATTCTCCGTGTTCCTGCGGTGTTTGCCCATCTCATCCCTTTTTCTGTGCCATCTGTTTTGTCTGAACTGCGCTTCCAGTTTTACAGTTTCCTGTTAGGGGACCTTTGGGGGACCCGGGGGCAGCTCAGATCCCGGGGGGGAGCAGCCCTGGCTGTCCCCAGGAGCATCCAGTGCTTTTTTTTTTTTTTTTTTTCCCCCCACCCTGTGGAAGTTGTCCCGTCGCTGGTGTCGGCTCAGTGTCCCCTGTGCTGTCACACAGTGACATCGTGCCCTGATGTGTCACCTGCGGGTTGCGCTTTGGTGTTTGCGACGCAAAAAAAAAAAAAAAAAAAAAAAAAAAAAAAAAACTAGGAGAAAACGGAGCTGCAGCTGCTGCTGCCCCTATGGGAGAGGCACCCAGGGACCTCTCCATCCCCATCCCCACCGGGGCAGCTCCTGCTCCTCGGCACCGACTCCTTCCAGGAGCACAAAGAGCAGGGGCCAGCCCAGGATTTCACAGCGGTGCCTCCAGCCACGCTGCTTTTGCAGGATAAATGGGCTCTGGCCCGCGGAGCAGATGTTGGGGTGACGTTTCTGGCGGGTGCACACAGAATCAAGTCTTTTGTGATAAGATTAGAGAGATTCAAGTGATTGAAATGTTAGATGAGACTGGCTCGAAAAGATTTCATCCCATTAGGAGCCAAGATCCCAGCCTTGCTGGGTGGTTTGGGCTTGGATTTTTTATTTATTTTTTTTTCTAATACTGGGCAGGGAAGGATGTGAGGTTTCAGCTGACAAATGTGAAGAGTCACAGATGCTGCTTGTGCTCGGAGATGTGAGGGCTGGGATATTTCCCTGAATAATTTAATCCAAATATCGGTCTCTTTGATATGGAATATGTCACAATTGTCCCCTCAACCCCCTCATTGTAACAGAGGGGTTGTGGGTATTTTCCTGGCTGAACTCAGCCCTTCATGGCCCAAAATGAGTTTCTGAATTAAAGGAGAGCAGAGCAGCTGAGCCGAGGCAATGCCACTCCTGCCTCACTCCACAGCCAACTCCTGGATCCCACTGCAAACCCCATGCACTTGGCATTGTGACCAGGGAAGTGTTTATTGCTGCAGAGGTTCTTTAATTCCAAAGAGCCCTAGAAATCAATCCCACGAGGAGTTTCTGTCCTTAACAGCAGCAGAACAAGGCGAGTTCTCATGTGCTCCCAGGCAGGTTCTGTGCAGGGAGGGCTGGAGGATGAGCCCCAGCCACACTCTGGGATTTTTCTGGAGCTTTTATGAAGGAAACTCGTGAAATTCTTTCAAGGGGAATGTGACTCCTCATCCCAGCTTGGCACACTGGTCAGGGGTTGTCACACATGTTGACTTCTGAGCCCAGGACAATCTGGGGTTTCTCTTGCTTGTTATTCCTGGGGTTGCAGATTTTTTATTTTCTCCTTTTAACCTACGTGTCCATCGAGTGTTGGTGATGTTAAACTGATTTGGTCTGGTCTGGAGCATCTCAGCCAGGGTGGCCTCCCCATCCCACACTGAGAGAGGAGCAGCTCCTCCCAGCACCCCAGTGCTGGTGCAGGGCAGCCCCCTCCACCCAGGTGGAGAAATAATCCTCCAGGTGAGATGGGACAGGACAACAAGAGACTAAGTGGGAGTTTTTCCTCCATGAGCTGAGAGAAGTTTCCTGCCCTGATCCCAGCAGGCTGGAATGGAGCCCCCAGGATAGTTCAGGGTTATTTTTTTGAGGGTTTTTTTTTGTGTGTATTTCCCCTCTTCTATTTTCAGCCATATTTCCTTGTGCTGAAAATAGATGTGTGGTGAGCTTAGGAGACACCTGTGCAGGTATGGCAGGCTCATCCCGTGCCCAAGCCTGGGGGAAGCAGCACCATTCCCAAATCACTGTAAAACTGAGGATGTCATGCTTGCTTTGCCATCTCTGTGCTGAGTTTTCAGAGTATCTGACCATGCTGCTGCCACGCCGCTGCTTTGTCACCCACCAACACCCACGGGGCTCGAAATTCTCCCTGGCTTCCATCTCTTCTCCACTCCTGTCCTTCTCATCAGGGGCACTGCCCAGGGCTTCTCAGAGTGCTGCTCTCCAGGCCTCTGGAAGGCTGGCAGACAGCCTGGGAAGCCTTTGGAAAAACACAATCCGATGCAGATGAGCAAAGCACGGAGCGCTTTTCTCCTGGGTTTGTAGCTGAGGGGTTGTGGCCAGGGAAGGGTCCCTGCTCTTCCCAGAGCTCCAGCTGCCCCTTTCAGAGCAGGATGTGCAAATCCCAGCCTGAGAACTGAGTCAGCCGTGGCTGCTCGCCCCGATGGCGAGTCTGGACCAGTTTGACCCAGTGGGACCTCCCAGTACGGCTCCAGTGAGTTCCCTGGCAGCTCTGGCTGCCTCAGCAGCAGCAGCAGCACACCAAAGTGCTGGGGGGGATTGCAGCTGAACCAGCTCAGGGGCAGCAGGCCCTGCAGCAGATTGAGGAGCATCTCCTGCCTGTCCATCCCAAAAAGTGACAACATCCCCAGCAGAGCCTGGCGGGGCTGATACAGCCCGAGCCACCCCGGGGGAGGGAGGGCTCTGGGAACAGCATCCCCACCAGCCATGGCAGGGAACTGGAGCCACTTGGGTGCTCCCAGGCCTGGGAATGGTGGAGGTCAGAGCTCAGTGCCCGTGAGGAAACCAAGAACCTCCAGAGCTGCTGTGTAAAAGACAACCCAGAGAATCCCTGAGGTCGGAAAAGACCTTAAAGATCACCAAGTGCAGTTCCTGAAAAGCCTCCCCTGCTTCCCCCCATCTGCATATTCCCATCTCTGCCCACATCTCCATGGCTGGCTGGTCCTGCCCCTGCCCCCCTTTGTGTTGGAGCTGTTCCTGATCCTGGTGGGGCTGTGCCATTTGCTGCGTAGGTTCCTCTGGCAGCGTTTGCTCATTCCAAGTCCACTTTGGAATCGCTAACACGCATCTGCTCTTCGGATTTTCCTTTTTGTTTTGCTCTGATTCCCACATTGAAAATGGGGCCATCACGGGAACACTCTCATTTTACTGTTATTTTTTTTTTTTATTTCCTTGATTTTTATTTTTTTTACTTCCAAGGACACAATTTCGAGCCCTGAATTCTTCTCTTCTAACCTCCCTACTTTCATTGCAGATCTTACATTGTAATTTATTTTCTTTTCTTGTTCCTTCTTTCTTATAAAATGCGCAACGGTTGTGAATTTTAGTTATTATTAAATGAGATTCTTTTCCTGCTGTCTTGTCTTTTAGGTATGCTCAGCCACCCACCCATCCCTGTTTCCGAGCTGGCTGAACACACAGAGCATCTCAAAGCTAATGATAACCTGAAATTATCCCAAGAGTATGAGGTATGAGCAAGAGTGAGTGCTGTGCATGGGTTACAGAGACAGAAATTAGGGAATTAAGACAGACCTTCATCCAAATGAACAGCTTTGTTTTAAAGATCTCCTTAGCTGAAATCTAAAAGCTATTTATATATTGGAAATTAAGAACTTGCTGAACGCTTTGCTGGGTTCAATTCTTGCTCATCAAAAGAAGGAGGTTGGTCCATGAGCTGCAGAGGCTGAGTTCCCTCGGAGGAGGGGATGCAGTCCTGGGATGGGATGGGATGGGATGGGATGGGAGCTGTCCCTGGGGTACCCATGTCTGGACACAGAGCAGACCAAGGGAAGGACTGTGACACCCAGTTTATAGAGCTGGGTTTGAGTGAGATGGGCAGGGAGTCCAGAGCTGGTGCCATCAGCAGCCACGGAGCTAAAGAAGGGGAAACAGGAAGATTTGTGCTTCCTTGTCACGTCTGAGGGGTTTGTGCACATTTTCCCTACCCTGGTGGTGTTTGGTTACCCAATCCCAGACTGGTTTGGGTTGGAGGGACCCTAAATCCCCTCCAGTGCCATCCCTGCCATGACAGGGACATCTCCCACTGATGTCCAGCCTGGCCTTGGGCACTGCCAGGGATCCAGGGGCAGCCACAGCAAATCTGGGCCAGGCCAGGGCCTGCCCACCCTCCCAGGGAGGAATTTATTCCTAATATCCAATCTAAAACCTCTTTCAGTTTAAAGCCCCTTGTCCTATCGTTCCATGCCCTTGTAAAAGCCTCTCTCCACTCTTGCTTTTGTTGTTGAAAGCCGTCAAATGCTCGGATATTTTTAGCCTAATGACGAGTCTAGACTGCCCAGGTGTGTTTGCAGGCAGGAGGGGATGTTTTCCAGACAAAGGGATGCTTTCCCCGTGCCCTGAGTCCCGGCTACCACCGCACCCGGAGCAGGGCTCACCCTTGGCTCTGCCCGGGTCTCTCCTGATCCATCCACATTCCAGAGGCTCATCTGCATCAATGCCACATCCCTGAGCCCTGGCTCCGAGCCAGCCCATCCTCCTCCGGGGGGAGAGCCAGAGCTGAACAAACATCGCTAATGAAGTGAAGGCGAGGCGTGATTAGAGGGATGGAGAGCAAACAGACACATTACAATAGTATAAATACCCATTAGTTAGGAATTCTGCGCAGCCCGAGCGCCGAGCTCCCCTTCTGTGGGAGGTTTTGTACCAGCTGTGCCCGGCAGCTCGGGGTGGGCACAGGCAGGGAGGGCAACGGGGCCAGCCCAGAGGGGTAAATTTGGGATTTGGGACCCAAAGAGTGGCAGTGAGAGGGAGAACAAGCAGCGGCAAACACAGCTCGGCACGTTCCTGCCAAGCCTTCAATTGAGGCAAACCCCAAGGGCTCTGCAAAATGATGAAGGAATTAAGCCCTTGTTTTATTTAATTCTCTGGCTGAGGATTTAGAGGTAAACGTAATTAACCTAATTTCCATATCTGGGACAGCTGGACTTTAGAGAGGAAAAAAACCCGACCACCAAACCTGGCATAAATCACTAGGACGGGCAGAGGGGATTTTTTTCTCTCCAGTGCATTTCATTGTTTATTCCTTCATCCCTTCTAGGAAAAATCCACATTGATTGAGTGTCCTAGGGCCGGGTCCTTACCCCCGGTTTGTGCTGGGGATGCACTCTGGTCCCTGCCAGGCTCCCGTGGGGCTCCCTCCCCGTTTGCACTGGGAAACCTTCAGTGCTGAGCCCAGAGGGAGAATGAGCTCAGACATTCCCGGTGGGGCTCAGGGGGATGGGACAGGAGCTGTTCCAGGGGCTGGGGCTCTCCACAGCCGAGCTGGGTTCCTGCGGGATGGCCGCGCTCCTCCTTCAGAGCCGCGGGAACAAATGCTCAGAGCTGCATCCGCTGCTTTTCTCCTCATTGACTCTCCCGTTTCCTTTCCCAATCCCTCCAGTCCATCGACCCTGGCCAGCAGTTCACCTGGGAGCACTCCAACCTGGAGGTGAACAAGCCCAAGAACCGCTACGCCAACGTGATCGCCTACGACCACTCGCGGGTGATCCTGCTGCCCATCGAAGGTAGGAGCAGCCCCAGTGCCCAGGCAGGGCTGGCACGGAGCTCCTGCAGGAGCACTCACTCCTCTCTCATCTCTGTTTGTATCCTTCTCTACTCTCGCTGGGATTTTGGCAAGCAGGAGGTACCGATGTAAGCCGGGCATTTGTTACCTTCTGGTGACTGACATATTCCCCTGGAGCTGCAATCCCTCGTGTCAAGGGCTGGTTTATCAAGAAACTGCCTTTCCCTTTGTTTGGAGAAGCCTGTTTGATAGCTCTCTGACTAAGAGGAAGAACTCAAGAGCACAGAGTGCTTTAGAAGGAGCAGGAGCAGGGCGGGCAGGACGCAGAGCGGGGCTGCACTGCCAGGAGTGGGAGGCAAGCCCAGGGCTGCTTGTACAAATGTGAGAGGCAGCAGAGATGTGGCTGCTGAGCTGTACAGGCACAAAGATCACTTGAAATGCAGCCCCTGCTGCAGCCCTGGCCCCTAAAAGGCTCTGGATGAGGAGGGGTTAGTGAGAGCCTGGCGGGTCATAAATTGTTTCCCGTGCTGCTTGCGTGAGCGATGGTGCAGTCAGAAAATTTACATTAAATTTCACAACTCGTGGCTCTTGACAGAGCTGCTCCAATGCACGCCAGGATAAAGAGGGGCTTGGATGGAGCTGAACAGGGCACCTGCTTGGGTTGCTGCTGCTGAGATAATGTTGGAGTTTCATGGGCTCAGGATGTGGCTGTGCCGGGTGGATAAAGCGTTCAGTGCCAGGCTTGCGTTGCCAAGAGCTGATCATCAGAGCAGAGAGGATGTGGGATGTCCTGGTAACTGCTGGTGAATGGAGAGGTTAATTCTGAAGCCTTTGAGACCAGGGAATTGCTAAAATAATCTCCCTGTGCCACGGTAGCTCCGAGGGGAAGGGGGAGAGCTGAGGCAGCAGCAGAGCACAGTGATTTGCCAAAAAACTGCACAAATCTGGATTGCTCTGGTCTGCTATTAGAGGGCTTTAAATGTTTCTCCCTGTGAAGCTGAGTGTGTTCTGCCTTGGTTTAATTCCGAGATTAATATTGTATGAGCCAAGGAAAGCAGAGGCTTTAAAAAGTTGCTTTGTCATTCAAGGGAAGGGAGAAGAGCTCAAGTGTGGGAGTGAAGGACACTTGGGCTGGTCTTGGATCTGGGGCTGGGTGCAGGCAGCAGTCCCAGCTCTGCCCAGGGCTCCATGAGGGACCAGCAGTGCAGGGATGATGGGCCAGGGTTGAATTTTCAAGCATCTGAGAGGTTCTGACATGTCTTGCTGCTGGTGTGCTCCTTCCTACCGGGCTCTATTTTATGCTCGAGGCTGGAAGATGAAAAGAGCTGGAGGAATTAGTTTTGTTGCTTTCTCTTTGTTTTAAATCTGGGTTTGTCAAGGCTGCAGATTGTCACTTGCTGCTTGGTCAGGAAGAAGTGGCTTTAACTCTGTGACTTCTCTGAAGCTGGGCCTGTCACACAGCACAACCTTGCAGGAGCAGCTCATGGCCACCATTTCAAATGGCAGAGTAGAGCCCAGGGGGCTGGAGAGGAGATGAATTCTGAAAGCTCAGCCTTGAACACGCTCCTGCCATTGAGCCCCCTTCCCTCCCTCCTGAAATTTCAGACTGGGAGGGAGCAAGGGTAGGGAACCCTCCAGAAATGTAACCCAAAGCCATTTCTCCAGCAGCTGAAGTTCCCCAGTGCCCTTGAGGAGGGGCAGGCTGCAGCAGCAGCAGTCCTGATTGCTCAGCCCAGCTCCCTGCTGCTGCTGCTGCTCCCCTGGAGAAGGAGTGCAGGGCTCTGCACAGAGTTAATCGTGGCTTTGCAGATCCTGCCAGCCCTGCCAGGAGCTCGCTGTGCTTGGGAGCAGCAGAACCAGCCCGTGCCAGGCTGGAGCTGAACCTGGGCAGCACCGTGTGCCAGGGCTGTTTAAACTTCAGAGCAGCTTTCTCCTGCCATGTCCCAATCAACCTCTTCACTCTGGCAGTGCCTCCTGCTCATCCCAAACCCTCAAGCAGGGAACCAGGCGAGCAGCTGGAACTCAATAGCCTGTAACTCATAAGTAGGGAAAAAAAAAAAAAACCACTCTTAAAAATGACAGCGGGTAATTTACAGCCAGTCAAAACCTGTAATTTCAAAGCCTTCATTGGCTAAATCAAGCCTGGCTTTATTCTTTACTCTGTCCAGCTGTAGCTCAATGCCTGGGCTTAGACTGTGGACCACACAGTCATTGACCAGGTGCATTTGCTGTCTGTGCTTGGGGCAGGCTGGGACAAGGACTCGGCTTTGTCCTACTGGACACTGATGCAGCAGGAGCCCTGGGCCAGGACTTTGCTCTTGTTAAGCACATGAGTGAAAACACCACGGTTTCAGGGCCTGATATTCGGTGTCTTTAACATCTTTGCAAGGAGTTTGTGTCTCTCTGCAATGCAGGAGCTTGTGCTGGGAAAGCCCTGCCAAGAGCCTGTGTGATTCTGACCCACCGAGCCACGAAGGCTCTGGTGTTTCTGCAGGGGGCTTCTCTCTAACACCATCCCTGCTAAAAAAAAAAAAAAAACATCTCCTCCAGCCTCCAGCTGTGTGAAGTCCTGTGCAATTCCCTGATTTTTGCTGGTTTGCCACAGGGATTGTGGGCAGTGATTACATCAATGCCAACTACATCGACGGGTACCGGAAGCAGAACGCCTACATCGCCACCCAGGGACCCCTGCCAGAGACCTTCGGGGACTTCTGGAGGATGGTGTGGGAGCAGCGCTCAGCCACCATTGTCATGATGACTAAGCTGGAGGAGAAATCACGGGTAAGAGGCATGAGAGGGATGACTGGTTAGTCATAATCCGGGGGGATTGGAGGGGAGAGTTGGGGGAGCAGCAAATCCCTTTGATGTGCAGCCAGAGGGGGATTTCTGCCTGCTCTGCCAGCACCCTGAAATTTCAGTGATTCATTGCTTTTAAAAATACAAACCATTCACCCTGGAAAACTGCAGCCTCCCTGGCAACTCCAGGAGGAGAGGCTGCTGGATCCCACTGGATGTCTGTCTTGGAGTTAATCATGTGGCAAGTTTCACATTCAGTTCCTTTGTTTAACAAGCCCCAGTACATTCCCTCTAATCTTCAGGATCATTCCAGTCTGTTGTCTATGGGATTGATGTAGCATCAGAGTCTGTGCTTACTCAGCGGGAGCCTTTTCTGATGGGTCTGTCCCTGTCCTGGTGCTCTGCAAAGACTCTTCTTGCACCTCCCTTTGCCTTTGCCACCTGGAAATGAGCATCCCCTCAGTGAAGGGTTTGTCCCAGCACTGAGCCATCCCTCGTGCCTTGCAGATAAAGTGCGACCAGTACTGGCCAGGCCGAGGTGCAGACACCTACGGGATGATCCAGGTGACCCTGCTGGACACCATCGAACTGGCCACGTTCTGCGTGCGGACGTTCTCCCTGCACAAGGTGAGCTGGCTCCTGCTCCTGTGCCCCTGGAGCTGAGCTGTGGCACCCTGAGCACACAGCTCAGGCAGGTTTGGGGTGCTGGTGACCCCCTGACCCCCGAGCTCCTGCCCTGCAGAACGGCTCCAGCGAGAAGCGCGAGGTGCGGCAGTTCCAGTTCACAGCGTGGCCCGACCACGGCGTGCCCGAGTACCCCACGCCCTTCCTGGCCTTCCTCAGGAGGGTGAAAACCTGCAACCCCCCGGATGCTGGGCCCATCGTGGTGCACTGCAGGTACAGCTCCCTTCCCCTGGGAGGGAGGCTGTGGGTTTACCTGGGGACAGGGACGGCTCTGAGCCAGAGGTGGATTCCCAGGCAGAACCTGAGAAGGAAACCTGGGGGATTCCATTGGCCACAGCATTTCCTGAGATGATGAGCGGTGTGATTTGTGCCAAGTCACTTGGATTGAGTTCCAGGCCAGGCTGGACAGGGCTTGGAGCCACCTGCTCCAGTGCAAGGTGTCCCTGCCCATGGCAGGGGATGGGAGTGGATGAGCTTTAGGGTCCCTTTGAAATCAAACCACTGTGGGATTTATGATCTTGTTAAGCAATGGGAAGTGCCTGGTGCTGTCCCAGTGTCTGGTTCCGTGTGGTGGGGTTGTCGCTGGTCGCAGTGAGAAAGGAGGAGGATCAGGTGTGACCTGGGAGGTGTTTGGGAGGCAGAGCTGTCTCAGCTGCTCAGGGCAGAGCTGACAGTGATTGACAGAGCGTTTCTGAGTGCTGCAGCCCTTCTGATAATGCCAGGCTGAAGGCAGGTAACATTCCTTAATTCAATTTACAACCCAGTGAGGAATCCTTGAAGCCTCAATGCAGATAAATCCCTGTGTTCCTCGGGAGGGTGCAGAGGAGCCTGCGGGTTCCTGGGCACCGGGGGAAGATCTGAATTGTGCAGGCTGCTGGGGAAGCTAATCCTGCCTCTGCTGGAGGATGCCATTTAAACAGTCTTTGTGAGTGGGCAACTTATCACTACCCTTGCAGATGGCAATTATTGTGCACCTCAGAAAATGAATAAAGAGCTGTCAGCTCACAACCAGCTCCCAGATCAGCTGTTAAATTCTTGCCAAAGCTCCAGTCACCTGCTTGGTTCAGGTGTTAGGCAGTCTAATTAACAGAGATCAAGGGGGCTCGATGAAGAAAGGGACAGCACTGGAATGGTAAAAGGAAGCCCTTTATTAGCAGTGGCACCAGAGAGCACAGAGCCCTGCTGAGGCACAAATGCCATTACACACAGGTCTGATGTTACCTGATGCACAAAACCATTGAGGGAGAGAGGTGACGCATGTTGCTCATTACAGCATCGGTGGCTTTTCAGCTGCCGACATCTGAGAGATTTAAAGAGGCTTTTTCAGCCTTCAGATCCTCCCAGCCCCTCGCTGGAGCCTCGGGCTGCCACGGCTGTGCCTGGCCTGGGGGTCACAGGGGAGGGGACACGGGACAGAGCATTGGGGGGACAGAGAGGTGTGGAGGGGACACGGGACAGAGCATCTGGGGGGACACAGGACAGAGCA